TTTCACAATGTCCTATCTGCTTAAGAAAATCATAGCAGATAGGACATTGTGAAAACGACGCTTTGTAGATAGGATATTTTGAAAACGACGCTCCGCAGATAGAATATTGTTGTTAGGACGCGTCGAAGTACTTACAGTTATGACATCTAAGTAAGTGGACTCTTTAATTCCTTGCTTGTGTAACAAGTTAAAGATTGTCTGCATGTACTCTGTCCAAGAATCAGAAGGTTTCAATTCCTTAAAAAAAAAAAATGCATGTTATTAAAGAGATGAAATCTCTCTTCTTCCATCACTGTCGAGTTAGATAAGAACGTAAGTGAGTTGGGGCACCACTTCTGGACAGTTCCCCATTTTGTACTTTCAACTTACAGGTGGCTTAGCATGAAGCATTTCCCTGACAATTGTATCACTGTTTCCATTGATGATTGTATGGTCAAAATCAAATGCTACCAGTAATTTTTTGGACATCTGAAACAGTCACGTTTTACAATTAATGGGATGAATGAGGACAGTTGGAAAACAACTCTGAATATTACAAAAATTTAAGTGGTATCGGAATGCTTACATTTGAGAATTTTGTGACGTTGGTGACGATATTTTATCTCACCTTGGTTTGACTGTGTCAAAATTTTAGAGGCCAAATTTTGCGTTATATTTAATGGAAGGTATGGTAGGCTGCAAAGATGAGCTGTCTTTTAGGGCCTTAGAATAACCCTCCAATACTTAAATTATATGAATGACAGCCTCCTTATAATAAGGCCACCATCCTTAGTGACAGGTGACAGCCAGGTGTCATCAGCGCTTGTCCACTCTCGCTATCTTGAAGTTTCCGGGGTTCTGTCTCTAATTTACTCGCTACCTAGCACCTTTAATCGAAAAAGAAAGAAAGGTATGAAAGACTTTCTTTGTCGAGTGTATAAGCCGGGTTTTAAGCTGTTATGTTCCACCAAACAAACAAACAAACAGACACTCTTTCTGCTGTAAGGAAGGACGCCTGAACATTGGTGCGAGTGCGAATAACGGGGAACGCGTTATCCGCCCCCATCAAGACATTCAAACCTTAGACTATAGACTATACATAAACAAGTCGGTACTTCGACTGGAACTCTTATTTTAAAACGCTGCTCTGCATTTCGGCACCGTGCATTCTGGTCAGCTTGCTAGTACCCTCTCCTGTACTAGTGCTCGTTTGGCGAGGGGAACCACACCACCACCACCACGGCTGCAATATTTTGTTTTTCAAATTTAGCGCGCTCTGCATGACGATGTGGGAAAAACAGATGACGACCTCGTGATCGAGACTAGATGGCCGGCGGCTGCTGCCCTGGCGGCTGCAAATATCGGATTGTTTATTGATTCTTTTGGATCTTTTATCCGAAATTTGAACTACTTGCAGTTTTTTTGAAAGAAATTTCAGTGGAAATTCCTGCTCTCCTGAATTTTAAAACGGCAAAGTTCGAAAACACAAGAAGGTATTTCTAAACCATGCGAGAATTTCATTAACCTCGCTTTGTTTACATCTTATGTCAGTATTAGTAGTAACAAATTTGCCTTTGCTTTAAAATTGTGTAGTTCGCAAATTGCTCCTATTGTTGACTGTATATGCTTCAAAGTATTTGAAACATTTTTTTCTTGCTTTTCCTCAGATATCTTCTGCACAATGGATTCATGTCAGCAACACCTCAATCAATGCAAAAGGGAGGCTGCCACTGCAGACTCTATTTTCACAGATTTGGATCTTCCACATGAGCCACAGTGTTCACTGCACACAACAGATGGGATTGTGGAATCTGTAACAGAGGCAAGAGGAGTTACTCCACAAACTTCTTATAATGGCTTTTGTGACAATGGAATGGGTATTAATCAGGGCCATCAGAATCAAGACACAAATGACAGTGTTATTGTTATGAAAAGTGACGTAGATTTTCAAGATAATCAACTGACAAATGGATCTACAGACTTTTTCAACAGAGCAGAGAAAATAAATACTCAAGTGGAAGAAAACCAACAGCAGGTAGCCAAAACCTCTGCCCAAAGTGCCCAGGTTGTCAACTCAGACCTGGAATGTCCTTTCTGTAACAAAACATTTTCTTCAACTGTGCATCTTAAAAGGCATGTGAAGTATCACATGTCAGAAAGATCGTTTAAATGTGACCAGTGTGATGCAGCATTTGTGTCAAACCGTGACCTAAAAATTCATACTAGAATTCATACAGGAGAAAGGCCATACAAATGCGAGGACTGTGGTGCAGGTTTTACTCAAATTGGTAGTCTTAAAGTTCATCTACGCGTTCATACTGGAGAAAAGCCACATAAGTGTCCACATTGTGATGCTGCTTTCAGTACTCCTAGCAATTTTAAGCTGCACCTTATGTATCATAAAGGAGAGCGGCCTTTCAAATGTAATGTTTGCTCATCCACTTTCTTAACTGCCCGGGACCTGAAAGTTCATGATCGCAAACACACCGGTGAGAAGCCATATGTGTGCAGTGAATGTGGAGCTAGCTTTTCACAAAGTGGGACTTTAAAGGTTCATTATCGCATCCATTCTGGAGAAAAGCCATTTGTATGTGGTGAGTGTAGTGCAGAATTCACTACTGCAAGCAATTTAAAATCCCATTGTGCTACTCACTCTGGAGAGCTAAAATACAAGTGTCATGTGTGTCATGCTGGTTTTAATAAAGCCCAGACTCTTACCCTTCATTACAGAGTGCATTCAGAAGTGAAGCAAACTGCATCTAAAGTTGATAAGTAAAGTTCGCAACTTTAGAGAAGGTTTGTGACTGCTTGTTCATAGCAAACTGGACCTACTAGTCATAGCAAAAAGTTTCCTATTGCTTTCCATTTACAGATATATTGTACTGTACTAATACTGTACTGCTTTGTTTTTTGTCTGTAAGAAATTACAAACATAGTTAATCCACTATTTTTTATCTTTGTTTTACGCTCATTTTTAGTGCTCCATGCAATTCATCATTTTTGTGTGTAGTAACATACACTGAAAATCAACTTACTATTTTAGCCAATTGGTACAGTGTTTTGCATTTTATATTGTTAGTGTTATCTTGCTAATAGATGCTAATTGTTATTGTTAGTTACAATTTGAATTAAATATCAACATGAATTGTTCCCTTGAGAGATTGTAAAAATAATAATATATTGCTTAAATGGGTATGTTTTATGTGTTCTACCAATAATTAAATTTTATATATTGTACAAGTGTGCCTACATAAAATTAAAACAAAACAAATGATTAATAGTGTATTTATTTAGGTGAGATAAATGTGTTAACAATAATATCACAATAGAATAATGCACGATGACTGTTGGACACAAGGAAAAGAAGATGGTCTTAATTCAATTTGCTTATACACATTATTTACAATACATTTAAGATTAGAGTGCAACAAGGAAGTTTTTCAAGTAGCTCAGTGACAAATCCTATCATACAAGCATCTACACAGTAGACAGAAGTGTCATAAATGTTTTC